CCTTGAGAAAGAAAACCAGACCCTTGCTTAGGGAATGGATTTGCAGAAACGCCCACGCGCACTCTTACCAGAGTGAAAAGACGTCGAATGAATCTGGCAATGTTTCCAGTTCAAAAATCACGCGGTTCTTGGCACAGCTTACAGAATTCCCCAGACGACAGCTTAAGCTTTTATGGGTGATATTGACTCGAGAGGGAGTACGACGGGGGGTGAATGAAAAGATTGCTGCTGCTGGCGAAGAGCTGTGCCAGCGCGATTAAACGAGAAAGATAAAGGTCATTCTGATGGCGTATTGCCTCATTATAAAGATGAAAAAGCGCAGGTGGTTATCGCGCAGACTCAGCACGGAAGTGGAACGTACTGGAACCGCTTCGACTTGGTCATTACCTGGGGTTGGTGCTTGTTGGAACGGTTTCTGATCGTAGTAAAGCAGATTTGGTTGCGACTTCTCAGAAGTGTAGACCGAATCGAGCTGCAACAAACCAAGAGTAAGCTCTAACAGCAACTATACTGCAAAGGTAGCTTACCAATGATTCAATGTCGGCCATTGTCTTGTCTATGGAGGCACTGATGGAGGCTGGTATGTCGGATACGGTATTCAGGGTTGTATGAGTCGCCGGTAGAGTGACTAAAAAGAACAATCTCAAAGTTTTGTTGACATGTTCATCGGTTAACATAAAAGCTGAACTGCTGAAAAGAATGTTAAGCGTCCTCTTTTCAAATTTGTTTTTGATTTTCAAGGTTGGACGAGTTAGAGGTCGCTTTTTGGCAGTGAGCCATCGCAATTGAATCGTCACGGCTGGCGGTTGGTAGCGTTTTGCTTTGCTTGCTGTACGTGCAATTATTATAGACTATGATATTCTTAGTAAAGAAAGACGAGAAATTTTCGATCTATTCCAGGGGAAGCAAATCAAAGCAATTACCCCAGATAAGGTCGTATAAAGGATTCTATTCTGTTGAGATAGAGTAGCCCGCGAGTATCACAGCTGTGCCGTGCGTAGCGGCTCAAAAGTGCGCGATAATGGCGCTAGGGCCTTACAAAGTGGTCTGGTGGCGACTGTGAACTTATGGACGAGATACCTCGCGCACACGTTCCCGTGATACGCAGCGTGATTACGTTCGAAATACGCCGCGCGTTAAGACTAGGCCGCTGGAGCTGGCAGAGCTCGCCTTCGTCTGGTTAACGCGCCCTTTCTTATTTAAGAGGATATTTGTTGTGAGCACCCGCCGCTGTTGCTTGGCTCTTTTTTCCCACTTTACAGTCAACTAGGCACCTACGATCTCTTTATCGACTGTTGTTACCCCATCAAAGTGATCTAGGATTGTTGCTTTGAAGGAGTACAATGGGGTCTGAAGTGTCGCCACAGATATTGGCGCTCTAGGACAGCATGAGCCTGCGCGTGGTCAGGACTCATGGACACATTTTTGTGGCATACATACCTGAATTCGATTTGAAAAGCGCCGACAGGCTTCGCTATACGAAGTTATTACGTCATATGATAGCGAATCAATCTTGTCAATCAATATACAAAAATGTCTGGTCGCGAATGCTGCCTTGAAGGATTAATTGAGGAGACTGAGCTCACCCGTTGACACTGAAGGCGATAGTGAAAGAGGTGATGAAGAGAAGAGATATGAAGAGGTGTAGACGGTTGACGGTGCAGGTTGTGTGTGCGAATGTGAGCTGTAGACGTGGCTGTCGACAGTTGATGTCACCGACCGAGCTGAAGACAATAAGTTCAAAATCAGGAATGCTATCCGGCCTGGCCCTCGCATGAGCCTATTTGACCATACGCTCAACACGTTTCCATCCGTCTTCTAACTGAAACACTCTCCACAGCCAAAGAAAAAGCTGTGAAAGCGTAAGTTTGATGATATCCTGCTGAGAGCGTAAATTTGCCTTTGACAAATTGTTCTGCAGATGAAAAGAGAACAAATTGGTATACTTGTTTATCCCATTCGGGAAGAGCCATGCATTATGCCGTAATCCGAAAATTTCGAAAAAGATTTCGCTTCGAAATAAATGATTTGATTTTAGCCTTGGGTTTGGCATTGGAAGTTCTCGGGAGAAGGCTCGAAGCCTTTTTTCATGTGAGTGGGTAACTCAATAGCAAAGCAACCGTGAAAAGATTTCTCGATTTCTATGCAAAGGAGGATCCCTCGATAAGGTCGAAGATCGAAGAAGGGGAAACGTGAAAAAACAGGCCACTCAAGGGTGCTGACCAACGCACGTATTCTCAGTAATAGGACAGCCCCGGGTATTGTAGCGAATGGCCCACTACCCTCAGCGCTATCCTGCGCCCCTTTCGCCCCATCTAGCAGAGAAAGCGTTGTGAACAGGGCACCAATGAGAGTCGGATCTATGCAAGAACCGCTGGGCAAAGGAAGGAGTCCAATTTCTCGGGTTTTAGGCTGTTTCTCATGGTTTTTCTTCAGCTCTGGAGCACCGACAAAATCCTTATTTTTTAAACTGATCTGCTTTCATTCGTGAAACTGTTTTGAAGGAGGGTTTCACGAAGTAATGTCGGAGCCTAAAAAGAAGGGAAATAGTTACTGTGTCCTTCTAACTGAAAGCGGTGAGAAGATGTGCGTTCTAGCAGCGAAAAGTAAGCTTCCATGCACCTAGGCTAGCAATGTCGTCGTATCCACGCCTTCTCGAAGGGGCCGCTGCAGACATCCCTATGCCAGTCCTGACCTCTAGCCCGCTTTGCAGAAACAGCGTTAGGGTTGAAGAAGGACAGCACCGATGAGAGGATAGCCTATGCGAACTGCCGGTAAAAGAATGGATCCGATTTTCGAAGTTCTAGCACGTTCCTCTTGCTTTTTTTTTTCTTATTCCGCGCACAACTAACCATCTCTGCCTTATTTTCTAATGGGCTGCCTTTTCATCGTAATCTTCACCTTCAAACAGAATTTAGAGAGCTTCATGTCCAAAATGTGCGCCACGCTTCTCTTCAGGCAGAAGATTCGCCATACATCAATATCATGTTTGTAAGTTGGAAAACCGGGTACACCGCTCACTCCACATGGTCCCTTCCTCTTGCAAGAGGACAATTACGAATGCATTTTCTTCCAGTGTAAATTAACCTGACATAGAAAGCAAAGAAGGTACGGTGAATCGATTGAATTTAAACTTCAGGGATACGCAAAAGCATTTTAATTCCCTCGAAAATCACCGAGGAATTTGAATGTGTACTCGTCCTATGCAATTACTAACAGAAGACGTTCTGCATTCACTCAATGACCTTATTCCTCAGTCAAATCGAACAACATGAATCTGACACCGTAAAGCGAGGATTTGGTCATCAATAGCCGCTAAAGGAGCTGAACTCGCCCACAAGCGGGTAACAATCAAAGTGTTCAGCCACTCCACCAGTTTCGGCCGATTTTCATAGGTTTGTACTTGTAGTAATGAAAACATTATCGGAGAATCCTTCCCTTAGATTTTTAAGAAAAGGGCTTACTTTGGCACAAAAGGAATACGCTGCTAGAACTGTCTTTGACTGACCATTCTGACTAATCTCTGATCCCCGAATCTAAAATAAAGGCGAAATGGAGTTAGGGGGCATCCTGCTTTGGGGCTCACGTCAAGCTAAAAGATAGTGCTATGGATATCTACGGCGACGAGCATAAGAGATTTTATAACACGGGTATTCAAAGTAACTCTGGTCATGGATAACTGGATAGTAACTGGATAGCTAGTAACTGGATAAGAGCTGGCAAAACGCCTTACATCATCGATTCCGATCCATTTTCCGCTCAATTTTAGTGTGAATGTTCTACCCCCCCCCTCTCGGCACCCTACCTCAATATCTTAGGTATAGGCAAAAGTTAATTGGCTCATGGCTCTCAGTATCGCTTCTTCAGCTTTCACACGCACCGGCACTCCAGGCTAAGTGAGCCCTACTATCAGAAAGCTATCCTTGGATGAAACCGTTATTGAAGCTCTACCTCTTAGCGTTATCAACGATCTTACTCTTGATCCTTATCAGTAGAGACGCATAGCATCGTTAGAGGGAAAGGAGTGGCCTCTTCCAACTCTACCCTCACTAAAACAGATTTAAGTGATTTTTAACCCCACGCGGGAAGAGAAAGTCACTAGTTTGGGTGTTAGAATTAACCGCACGATGTCTAATAAGAACGTTAGTAAAGACGACGAGGGATTAATCGCTATATTAGCCCTACCAAAAAGGAAATTAGAATAGATAAATTTCCAGGCTTCGATCAACCTTATCTGAGATGCGCCACGTATTCGACTTGAATCCAGAACCGTGCGGTTCTTTCCACGCCAATATTCGCATTTGGCCCAATAGACGAAGAGGGGATTGAAGGTCCGTGTAACATGGACAATCTTCAAGCCAGTACTGGTTCCCCAGGTCATCTAAGAGGTTGACTCACTTCACTTATCGGACGCGCCCTCATTCAAATCAACATAAAAAAGCAATATGAGATAGCTCACTATGGATTCCGGATCCGAGAGCGATGATGGTGTAAGTAGAAGTGGAAGGTGTGGTCGTCTTGGCCGTGGTGGTACGGGTGGTCGTTGACGTCGTCGTCGTTGGTTTGACTATACAAACGATGATAGAATTAGCAAAATGATCGAGCCGCATTGTCGCTTTTTCTCTCCGAGCTGAACATTTACTAGGGCTCGGGCCATTCATTGGTCGGAGGTAAGCTTGTGAACCCACCTATCAGCCGGCTTTCGGTGTTTTCTATGGTACCGTCACATTCGTTCGCATCCTCCGGTATCGTGTAGACTGGCCCGGGTCGATGGCAGAACAACGAGTGGGACTGGTAGAATTGAGCCGCACGATTTACGTCAACCTCTTCCATGTCGACCGACTAAAGGGACATAATTCTCGAATGGTTCAAATACTAGCGACGATGGCGAAGACTTAGCCCACATCCTCATACTCTGGCGACTTCGACTTACAACATCCTCATCTTCTGGCGACTCCAAAAATGGATTTCTCCGTTCCTCGTTTTCGACGATTTCCAACGGAGCGTCGTGCTTCTGAAAGATATATTTTATCGGAAGAGAAACCAGAGAAAAAGAGTAAAAAAAGCCGAACCTGGCTCGAGAGGGTATCGATTTCTTCCATGGAAATCGCAGGCACTTCCTTCGACGGCTCAGTAACCTATAAGTTCTTATTTAATTGATTTACACAAAATTTACCCCGACCTCCAGATAGCTACCTCATGCTTCTGTTGACTCCTCTGTAGTGTGGATTTAGCCCATTGGACGTCAAACTCGTCATTGGCTGCCTCACCGAACGCTTGGATCTGTTGCAGGACCTGGAGAAAAGGAGACCTGTTATGAAGTGAACCTTAAAGAGCTCAGTGAGTGGCTGACCTCCTTGCCGTACTGCTCTTGTCGTTGACGTTCTTGCTCAACTTCTTCGTACGTGGGTGTAGGAGCTATGGGAGCGGCTACCACCTTGTCCGGATATTCGTCGTCGTCCTCACTTCCACTTTCTTCATCCTCACTGTCCAGTCGATCATCATGCACAGTGACAGTGATTTCTGGCGTCGCTTTCTTTGGTGTCTCAATTCCCATCGGGGTCTAAAAAGCGATTTTGGTGAGCGTTTTTGATAAGAAATTTGTATATAGCTTACCCAGGGTACTGCAGCCGTCCTTGTCGGTGGGATGGCCTTAGACGACGGCACCACACCTGTGTCAAACTCTATTCTCCTTGAGTGCATAGCCAGATCCATCATCAGCTTCTGAAAGGGCTACACATTGAGGATGAGTGTTGTTTCAGTTTTCACACCACGCTAACCATGGAAATGATAGAGAGAGGAACATCTGGGAATAATCAGTCTTTTCCTCAGGATACGCCATGCATCCTACTTCCACCCATATTCCTGATAAGTTTCATGGCATTTGAGCGGGATGAGTTTTAGCATCACCGTCCCGTTGCCTGCGATTTTATCCTACCAAACGGAAGGATTCGAGCCGGGATTTCATCTCATGATTGTGCACATAGTAAGCAGCGCCTCTTGTCGGCACACCAGCTCCGCATATGACAAGACTTTAGAGATATCGTAAGCATAAGAATTTTAAACTTTAAGAATTAAAATTTTAAAAAAATAAATTCAAAAAAATAAACAGAATATTTCTACTCGTGTACATGGAAAATTCGAAGATGAATAAGAAACATTGGTAGAAACATAACAGAAACAACACAACATTATTTCAATCGGTGATCAGTGAGTGTCGCTGAAAACTCAGGGAAAATCTTGAAAAATCGCAAAAAATATGCACAGCTCAGTGGTTTAGTCGATGTTCCCCCCCCCCTCCCTTTACATAATAGGTGCCTAAGAATGATGGAACGGGAATGGAACATTGATAAAAGTCCCTAATAAAACTTTTGTATTGATAAGATCGATTTGCATATTTTTCCATGAAATGATTGAATGCCGGAGGCATGGCGCATCCTATGGAGCTTAAAAGCGTACTTTTTACAGAAAGGTCAAGCTAACAACTTTCTTTGGATTTCCAGGTGATAGAGAAAACGATTCTCGTGGGTATTCACACGATTTGTTACATCACCAGTTATTTACTTATTACTACTTAGTATCGTATTATTTACTTATTTAGTACTGGTAATAATAAAGTAATATGGTATTTATTTATTTATTTACTTATTTAGTATCGGTAATAAACACAACACAACACAAGTCATTGCATTATATAGCAAATTCCGATGAGGTTTTAAAGAAGTCGAAAAGGTTGCTTTTGTCAACTGCTACCAAGACTAAGAATTCCTCGATTCTTCGACCTTACTCTACGACTCCCTTGAGTTACTCGTCATAATTACACTATAATTAAGCCGGATCCAATTACAAGAGATTTTTGGCCGTCAGTGGTATGTAGTACATATCAGCACCCAGCCTCTATCGGGATTAGTCCATAGTCTATGAGAGCTGGTGAGTGAACAAACCTCATGATTGGAAAGGGCATGCAATTTCCTTCAGATTGTCGACAACGGCCCAAATTGGTTGAAAAACAACACATACTGGAAGGTTCTGCGAATGCCTTCCATTCAAGCAAATTCGCTTAGAGACTTGAGGATATAACCCAGTGCACATGCTTGTGGAGATGTGGGTCAGGAGTTCCATATTGTGGTGGCGCGGCTAGAGTTTATCGGCATGTCGTGGGATTTCCAGTACCCACTCATTCATCCACGTTAGAGTTCTAACAAAAAATTTTGGAAGAGGGGTCTGATACTCTCTTTTTCCCCTTCCAGATACCCTAATCATTTTTATAGCGCGCTATCTTTCGTTTTCTCACATATTTCTGCTATTTCATGAAAAAACCTAGACAACTATGACATTCTAAGCTTAATTTTGAGGTAAAGTACATGTTGGTATAAAAGTTGTGCTACATATACGACCATCCAGTTCGATTCGAACTGTAAAGGCAGATTCGCGTCAGTAGCAAACGAAGTCATACGTGAGCGCGATTCGCGCTCATGCTTCCACACGCCATACAGGGAATTGCTTAAAGGACGAATTCACGATGAAAAAGCAACCCATTTCAAATTAACCTAGGGATGGTGAGTGGTACACGAAAGAAGGAAGAACCATGAGAAACGGCCCAGAACCCGAGAAATGGTACCCCTTCCTTGCCCGTTGATTCGAGCATTGATGCGACTCTCATCGCTGTGCCCTCTTCAACACTACGCTCTCTCAGCTATCTAATCACTCGCCACGTATTGAACTACGGCGAGTGATCAGATGATCGGTGGGCGGAGATCGCCGGACCCGCCAGCTTTGAGGCATGATAGGTCGCCGAGGTCAAATTTTTCCATGCGAATTGCGCGTCAGTTCGCACCCTCAGGAGGTCCGTGGGTCCCTCAACTAGGTCAGTTTCCCTTTCTTCGACCTTCATTCTAATCGTGAATTCCTCCTTTAATATTGCTCTCATAAATTATTGCGAATTCCATTCAGTAACAGTTATCTATGATGTGGCAGTCGCTGATGCCTCAACGAACGGTCCAACTTTTGCAGAAGAAGGGAAATCCGGGAGTGCGTGAACTATTCCGCTTCCGCTTTCACACCTGCCCCGACTCTTCCTCCCCCCTGCAAAGTTGGAACTACTGTAGGCGATTATCGCGTAGACCTATCCATAATAGATGGCTAGCAGTGATTAACTAGTGAATTAGTGCCTCGAACTAAGAAGTCATTGGGACGTCATTCTGTACCGATTGCATGGCTAATCTATATCCTCAGGATACAGTAATCGTTGGCTGCTAACCTGTAGGCGAGTGCTGGATGAATACGTCGTCAGCCGGTTGTTCTGACTCGTCACCTTCAAACACCGTCGTCCACATTCGTGTCCGTCCACCGGTCCACTCAGCTCTCTGAAATTTCAGTGTTTAGTCATTGCGGATCACCGGCGGTCCGTAGGTCTCCGTATCTTTGCGCTTTATTATATCGCCACTACTCTCTATTTATAAATAATTAGTGATTACCCATAACTGGATAGATAAGAAAATGTATTGCTTGCGCTGCCAATGCACTTTGGTAATGTGTTAATGTACTTTCTCTCTCGAGTCCATAAATGGCTACATCTCGAAACCGTAAAGAAAAAATCGTCGATCAGATCACAAACAGGCAGCTGGCTTGTGGTGTGGGCGGTTTGTGCCCTACTTACAAATCTCAACTACGTGCATCCACATGGTCGCAATGAACTCATTCGGCCACAGGGCGAGAAGCTTCTCGTAAATCCGTTCCTTTCTAAACAAAAATGCTGCAAAAAGAAGAAAGAGAGACAAAAAACCTAACAAGGAGAAAGACCCATAGGGAAAAGAAGGAGAGCAGTGTTTAAAATGAAGATCGGTTCGGGATGAGACGTCCCTAGGTATTTTGAGGAAAGGAGAAAGGAGAGCGAAAGAGCGGAAATGGAGGGGGAGGGAAATGCTAAGCTCGATAAAGGGAGGAGGGAGGTGTAATCAGCTTCTTTGCTGAGCCTACATGTATTTAAGTTGGCCTTCCAAACAGCTGATGCAAAGGATGTACCTCTCGCTTCATATTTCCTACTTTTCTCGCTCCTTAATTCCTACTCTTTTTCTCATTGTCTGAAGAGTCTCATAATTAGCTACTCTGCATCTTCTCCGTTTTTTGCCTGAACTGGTCTCTCTCCCTCTCATCTCGTTTCGTCTTTTTTATTTCTCTAACTGAAGGAAAATAAGGGTCGCGAGTAGCGCGGATTGTGGACCCATTTTTTGCATTCTAAAAGAGCTGAAGCCAAATGCCTACCTGTTGACTGTACAAATCCTCTTCATCCATTTCCACCGCATCTACGCTGACACCCGATTCGTCATGTAAACTAACTTTGTACCTAGAATTACAAGATTTATCGTCGATTCATGGGCGGAAGTGGTGTAGTGACAAGTGGCACGCTCACCACGCGAGCGGTCCGGGATCAAATCCTGGGTCGTGAGTCGCCCGGGCCAACCAAGCCTTCCATCCCTCCGGGGTCGGTTAATTGGTACCAGACTTGTCTGGGAGGATAAAAACACTGACTTGAACATCGGCTGGCCCCCGCAAGTCATTGTATAGGCCACATCGCATTCAAACGCCACTACGAATGTACAAATGGAAGTAGAATGCGTGCCGCATCCCAAAAGGGATTGATCAACGGCAAATGCTTTATCCTTTTTATTTTTATCGTGACTGTCACCCCTGAAATTGCTCGCTCAACGTCTTGAATGGGGGCGGTGACATTACAAAACAGGGCCCTGAGAACGGCGTGATGAGGGTGACACCCCGAACCGGCTGCCGCCGCAGGGGGGGGGGAACCGGACAGGGAGAAAGAAAACTCCTCACATCTCCCCCCAGGAAATTCCTTGCCTGAACCTTAGTCCCAAATACTATAACTGGCTAACTTACTTTAAGCCCCCTCCCTAACGAAAATAAACAATCGACTTCAAGAATCTACCGGAAAAACCAACCTATCCGTATCGAAATTATCATCATTTAGGTCAGAGAATCGAGCATCTGAATAGGTGAAATCGAAGTCTTCACGTCTGTCATCTGCACGGGAGTCGTTTCTCGAGTGGGCACCTTCCCTCACTTCACCAGCATCTTCCAATACGTCGTACATCCGTTCTGCTCTGGGCATATGATGGTTGATCGAGATGCCCCGCTGCAAGTCACCCAAAAACGCAAAACTACCGAGAGTGTTGGTGGTTCGTGCGAAAGTCACCTAGGTTCATGATCCCTATGATGTCGAGGTAATCGTATGCGATGGACTCGATCGGTGTGGGCGATCCGAGCTCTGCCGACGATGTCATGGCGTGCTGTCGGAGGTTTTCTTCTCAGGGCAGTGGGCCGCATCCGGTTTTGAGGTGATGTCGGACTTGTCGTATTGAGCCCGTTGTGAGGCTAAAATTGCTAGCTTAATCGTAGTGATGTACTGACGAGAGCTTTTGATTGATAAAGACCTTCTCTTCTTCCCGGGTCATCCATTTGAGCCATTCTCATGACTGCACGGATCTGCTCCCGCTCTGATGGCGACAGATGCGACAGGTCGACGCCGGGGATTTCTTCTTCAGGCGACTGTTCACGCGCAGGTTCAGCGACCCTCATTGGCTTTTCTGAACGGCGATTGGTGCAATATTTTGAGGCAAAATAGTCGCCAGAATCAGCGTTACCTTTTCTGGTCTGAGAATCGTTGAGCGTCCTCTCTAAAGCTCCAAAGGATTCGATGGCCTGGCTTGTCGGCAATCTCCTGCTCATGGGTTCCTCTTCCGAAACTGGTGGAAGTCACCGAATCGATTTGATCCTCGACTGCCTCTCTCCTGGAATTCATCACTATTGTAAATTAAGTGACCCTCCAAAAGTAAAAACACAAGTGCAAACCAACGAACCTTTCCGCTTCGCCCTCAGCGAGGTCTTTGAGGGAAAATTCTGATGAGCTGCGAACCATATGATCAGAAGGACGGCGCTTTTCTTGCTCTGGTGAGATCTTGGGAATAGAGGGTGTCCTAGGAATAATGGCTGGCTCCGGTATCGGTTCAGAAGGAGGCTCAGATCTTGGAGGAGCTGGAGACGGTAGCGGGGGAACGACGATCTGCTGCTCTTCCATCGCCGCGCTCGCCATCACAGCCATAATCTTTGCTCGTTCCTCAGCCGATAGCTCTTCCAGCCCGGGTGGAACGGAAGGACTGAAAGAAGAAGAGCGTAAGAAAAGGATAAGCAATCATCTAGAAGGCCAAACTTCATTGTTAGATAGCGAAACTTACCTTATGGATGGTGCAGCTTCAGGCGTGGTGATTGTGGTGAACGCAGACGGTGGTGGAGGCGGCAGGGGTTCCGCGGTTGGTGGTCGAGATTCCTCGGCATCTCGTCTCGCCGACTCCATTACAGCCAGAATTTGCTCTCGCTCACTAGCGGACAACCCCTCCAATCCAGGTAGCTCGACTTGGTCGCTGAAAAAAGTGCAGTCTGGCCACTGGAAACGGCAACAACACAACTTATCTATCTACAAAAATCAATGAGTAGCAACTTATTGGCTCTCAAATGCCAGGGCGTCTCATCAAATTTTCGCGGTCCATAATCATCAAAAGAGCATCTCAGCTCATTTATCCCTCCATATGATTCTTAGAGGGATACTTAACTTGTTCTTAGAGCTTGCTGGTAATGAGGTGCTAACGGTCAACCTTTGGATGGAATTATTTTCAAACTTCGAAATTAAGATTAAGTTGATTCAGGAAACAGGCTGGCGAATCGCGTCAAAACTGCTGCCACCGCATTTCCTAGTTTGGTAAAGTTTCACATCCAGAAAATATCCATAAACTTGGTTAATTCCAGGCAGGGTCGGTCCTGTCGTTGGTACTTTCTGCAAAATTTTACGAACCCCCCCCTTCCCGAGAAGTTTCTTACGATCCCCTCCCATTTCGCGCTACGGAAACGAGTACGACCCCGCCCCACCACAACATCAACAAACTACGGCCCCCCGTTGTTACTTGTAGCAACGTAGGGTTGACCCTGATTCCGGATTCAGCAACGTAATAACTTCGTATAGCATTATTAGTTTATGCAAAGATCTACGCTAACAAAAAACGGTTCGTGGACGATGTTTAGTGTCCACAGAACGTCGGACTTCCGGCCCAAAAAGAGATCATGGGCAACGTGTAGGCTCACCCACTTTCCCTGGCCCTATGGGTCAAGCACCGTGGGTGAATTTTCCAGAAAAGCCTCTTTTTTCCCCTCCCAATCCAAACAGGTTCTTCGCTCCTATTTACTCCATTTACCTTCCCTGTTCGACCCTCATGGCCTGGCTCACTTCAATTATCTGGGAACCTCACGCTGCAGTCACAACGGCTCGGGCTCTCAGGGAACTCTCATATCTACGAGCACCATGACATCGATCTCGAGTGGCTTCATGACTAATGAAATGGGTTCGAGCGCCTTGTATCCGGCGGCGAAGCCTGGGAACGAATCCGTCTCTCATCGCCGCCCTTATGGACCGAGTACTCGGCACTGCACGCCAGCGATTCCTTCCCATATCTCGTACTGCTTTAATTCCTTTCCGGACCCCTGCCGTGAGTTAATATGACGGGATGTCGCATGATTTAAAGGGCATTTGATGAACAGGATACTCATACATCATACTGGATTAATAATTCATGGCGTGAAGCTGGTAAGCACAAACACACCTCGGGTGTCGTAAAATGATACTTTTCCCACCCATATGTAGAGGGCCACTCAAGAAAGCCCAGACTCTCCTACTCAGCTAGGTATCTGACCCATGGCCGTGTGCGGCCGCTTGGGTTGCAGGTCCTGCACAGAAGAAGCAGATGGCATTGGTCGCAAGACAGTAGCGCTTCCACTCCGTCGGATTTGTGGTGGTGGTGGTGCCAACCTCAGCTCCGCTGCTGCATCACGCGAGGATTGTCGGCTCCTCTTGCAGAGAGTCTTCAACGGGAGGAATCATGATTTCGCTAAAAATGCGTTTCCGTAGAGAGCATAGTGCTTGGAAAATGTTGGAAAATTCTACCTGGTTGGTTGTGGCTCCAACGACATCATGGAGTCGCGTTCAGCACTGGCCATCACTGCCTCGATGTGAGCTCGTTCCTTCTCGGACAGGCATCCTAGTGCAAAGAAAACATCATGAAACGTTGTGGTTCAACTGGCTGTAAGAACATTATTCGGCAAAGGTTTCATACCTCTGCTGGAGATGGCTCGTGAGATCGTGACGGAGTGGAGTCGGACCGGGCAGAAATCGACGGCTCCTTGTCCTGCTTGAGTCGAGGCTCTTGCGCAGGACCGCCAGTACGTTCTCGTGACGTTCTCTCGAGAAAGGATCCCCTGAGGCTGCGACGTCGCTAAAAGAATTGGTGAACTAAGGGTTCATGATCTTCAACGATTAAATCGAATCTGGAAAGAACATACGAGAGCGGGGTGACGGCCGCTGATGGTCCGGCGCTGGCGACGGCGGTGGCGGCTGCATCCAGTTCGGCACATGCCATAACTGCTTGGATCTTCAGGCGCTCTTCTTCCGACAAGCCCTCCATACCCGGTACGACTTGAGCAGTTTGAGCCTGAAACGCAGCCAACTTTCTTTATTTTTATCTCGTCAGAAGAGAAGAAGGGTTACTGGGAAGATGAGCTGTTTTCTATCATTAAATGAGCAACAGGAGAGAGCTCCCACAAGATTAAAATATTCTCAGCTTGGTTGCAGTGATAGAGGAGAAGAACTCGATCGGGCAGTGGTCATCAGAGAGAACTGTGTGAGGAACAAACGGGAACAATCGAAGTTCAGAGCCAATAAACATTTCCGAGATTGCGCCACGCACACGTCCTCCACTTTAGATAGTCAAAATATTTGAATCGGTTTTGTTCTTGAATTACTTGCAAGGGATCGTGCGATGGTGAGGACGTTTTTCAACTTCTACTTCCTTCAGAAGAGCAGCTGATGCCATTAGGTGGCTCACAGAAGGAGAAGATTTGATCGGTTTGAGGCGGAACGTTGATCTGGACGACCATGCAAGCGCAAGTGGACGGTTTTCCCACTTCGCTATATTTTTGATTATTTGCGATTTGATCCAAACTTATACCAATGTGAGAAGTATAGCTAATGAATACGAGCATTCCTCCAATCGCAGAAGAGCCTTGTGAGGGTTAAAAACTGTGGGCTATATGTCATGCCTGAGTCGGAATTTGTACCCAGGGTCATGCTTTTCGAGTGGTATGGTTTACCTTTAATGGTGTATCTGCCATAACTAGCACCTACAAGTCCGAAAAATTCAAATATTTATCCAACCAAATACTTAGATACATATCGCTTCAAAAACTGGCGTTAAGCGGGACCCTTGTTTCAGGTCTTCAAAATTCCAAAATCAGAGAAAAGATTCCCCTGCTCGATTTGTTTGGCTGGCAAGACATCGCAATTTAATGGAAAAGTTGGACAATTCAATTTCCGATCACATAATTGGATAAACAAACCAAGAGTAAAATCGATTGCTATACATTTAAATTTATTCCAGTTTACTATCCAAATTAGTCTTTCGGTCATGATAGATGTGACGGGCACGGCAAATTTCATTTTCGGCGAGGAACTCGACAACAATTTCCGACTACTACCTTTCAATATACGGCGAGAAAGGTTTTCTGGATCATATTGCGAATCCCACAAACTACACTCCCCTGAATGGAGAGAACGAAATTTCGCGCTTTTCAGTGTGTCAGAAGGGCTGGGTTTTTGCCACACTAATGTCCACATATCCCAAAATAAGCCGATTTGAGCTTCAAATTGAAATCCTACGAATGATTCGCAGGTTTGATGATCTGCGAGGCGTTTTTCTAGGCAACATGAGCTAATTACCACTGGTGCCTTGGCTATACCATTTGGCTGCGGCTCATTGACATACTGATTCCAACTGTCTCCCCTCCACCCCATTCACCCTTTCCACTACACAAGTCTACACAGGAGTGTTCAAAACATAACTATGAAGATGAAATGAAAGTGAATCTGAACAAACTGGAAAGAGTTTGTAATATGCCGGCAAATGGAGGAAAGCACACGAGCATAGCAGACGTCCTTTAGTTCCGTGTCCTATTTTTACGGGCAAAGTCATCAGCTAATGTGAAACAAGTTCGGATTCACTTAAAATGCACGATAGTCAACGTCACTGGCGATATTACCCGAGATGTTTGCCACTTTGGACGAAGTTGAGGCAGTGGCAAGTGACGCTGTCATGACAAAAATTGCCAAGACCCCGGATTGGTTCGTTCAGGCCAAACCGTAAAAGATAGTTTCTGGTAAGGGACGCGCCAGTCTAGAAAACCATGAGTTCAAAATTAGTTTGTTCCCGACCCGACTGGACCCGATTGTAGGGTTATTTGGAACCCGATCTGATTAGGCCAGTCGTTTTTGTCTTTGCGCTATTCGGCCCCCTTTTTGACTCGTTCTTGCGCCTCTCTATTCTGGATCCATTCTATTATAACAATAAGCCTTACAGAAGTGGACGGCTCCAAGCATGATGAGTCCTTTGGTCGGTGACTCCACACTTCAACCTTTACCGCACGGTGCTGGTTTATCAATATGCGCAATCACCTATCCCTGGGCTCAGTCGTAGGCGCTTCAGGTGAGAAAGTTGGGTCGAGCAGAATGCTGGTTAATCAGCGCGAACGATAACAACGAGTGCTATATCAGTAATCAGGGCCTCAGATAATCCTTCAATGCAAGTTTACAGCGAATGTGGTGAGATTCAGTTACAGCATCATCTCGCGCCAAATGGCGCCAATTGGAACCAGGACGCCAAAATGGAGTCATATTTCCGTGATCAGGACTTCGATCACCCCATAGGTAAAAGCTTTTAGCAAATTTGTTTTTACCCATTTCGATCTAAACTTGGGTGTTGGTAATTGCGGCCAATAGTGGCCCTATAAATTTGATCATTTAGGTAGAAGAGTAGGAAGAGACCCTGTTTTACACTTTCCTCAATCCAGGATTACTTTGAGAAAATCCCGGAAACATTAGGCTGTTCTTCAAAGTTTTCTTGCAGCGGGTTGAGAAACCAATAACTTCACTCGACTCGAAAAGATTGAGTGAGCAGTACTTCTGGGAGGAATGAGAAAACGAAAACAGAAACGGATTGCTTGCTTTCTAAATATATTGATTTCGAGATTGCCTCACAAGGAAGATCAAGAACTAAATATCAGGCCATTAATAAATCTCGTAGATTGAAGATCGTCAAAGTTGAATACCAAAAATCTACTCATCATGAACAATTATTGTTGCTGCTGTTTCTGGATGGAATCTGCCCATATGTATGACCTCAGCCAAGTGGGGCTGGGTCAGGTGCGCTACTTGCCACTAAACCACCTCCACTCTGATCAGTGAGGCACAACACATTCATAGCAAACGGATAGCAGTTTATAAGAGAAGGTTCCTCATTTAGCTCATAGTTAAGAAGATTTTTACTCATTTCGAATTTATGACGTACCCCTTTCCCCTCGTCTCACCCCTCCTTCTCCCGAGATACACTGAAAAGGAGAGAGCTTCTCGTAAGTTGCAGGATGTTGCCGGTGGGCGGAGTAACAACTCTGGTCCCACTCTATCTCAGAAAAAATAACGCCGGAACGCTTAGATCAGGCGGTCAGCTTGTCTCCTTTGCTGACGCTACCCTTCCTGTTAACTTTGATAACCCACGATTTACTTGGAGTGTTAATGGAGCAGTTTTGGCCTCAGTGTTTTTAACTAGCATTCAATACTCTGTTGGTTGGTCCCAGTTTCAATTGTTAGTTCACTGAGAATTTGAAGCATTCCCTGGTTAGAGGCTGCTCCCGATCGTATGGGCAGAGTTAGGCTGGATGTACGGAGTTCTCATTTTTAGTTGCTCGCCCATTTTGAAAGGAGGAGAGACCCAGGAATGAGAGAGGAGCATTGCTATTATAGAATCCACGCACAGAGTCAAGCTCTGAACAGCCTTTTGGTTTCCGTCTCAAAAATTACATTTTCTTGAAAAGGTTCGTTAATTATGCCCTGAAGGTGAGATACCTGCGCCTCATCAATTTGACTCCGCATGATGGGCAAATTTTAGTTAGCCGTGCATAAATGAATGAGATTAGCCTATCAAGTTATCGCTTTATGACTGACTACGTCACACGGCACTACGGGCCTCCCCGGAAGCATAGCGAATGCTAGGATGTGACATCACAGCGTAGGCATGCAAGCGAAAAGCAAGCGCAGAGAGAGTGGAGATCCCAAAAAGTGCAAGGCTGTCAAATTCGGAGAAAGTGCGGATCTCTTTGTGAGAGTTGAGGTTATTAAGCCCACGTCAGCAGAGCAAAAATCTTCCTAAACGTTTGTCAACGAAGCTGCCAGACCTTGAGGCAATACAAAGATGGATGACGTATGACAAATTTGAGCAGCAATAAAATTTTTCGCAATTATTTCAGAGGTAGAAGATCAGGAAGAGCCTGATAACTCGTAGGAATAGTAAAAAAAAGTGAAAAAGGAAAGTAGGGAAAGTCTAGGAAAAGTCTACATAGATCCAGAGCTCTTACCATCCGTATCATCCGCCTTATGAATAAGTTTCAACAAGAAAAAAATCTTTCAGGCGTACTTTAGGGCAGGAATACTGCCACAACATCCGAACCTAAGGTCCAGTGCTGTAACCGAAGTTTCCTTCGCAAAAAGAAACTTAAGAAAGGCCAAGAAAAAATTATAGGGCAATTTTACTAATAACGGGAATGAAGCAATGGCCAGAGCGCCTTGATGAGATGGTAGTTCATGGATGGAATCTTGTCCAGGCCAAGTGAGCCTTCTTCCATTCGGGTTCAAGGGATATTTGACAGTCATTAGGACTCCCTTCACCAATCGAAGGATCATCGACGTTGACTCACTGTGTTCGCAACCCTCAGAGGTCGGTTATCTGATATCAGAATCCTCACGTAGGATGAAAACACAGATTCCTGGGTACCAGACAGGAGGCCCATCGCGCGGCAAGAAGGTAGAGTCAGCGAACGAGTCGCAGCGCGTGCTGTGCGATGCAGGACGTACAGCGCTACACTCTGTTTAGATTGACGCGAACAGCCTTCTTGCCGCGCGACGGGCCTCCTGTTGGGTACCCCCGATTCCTACGTCGGTTGGCCAAAGCATGCCACCGTATTGGCTGTACTCCAATACTGCCATTTCTCGATTCTGAATGCATATCGATTGTATGGCGTGTACAAAAATAGGGCTGCGCTCAATAGCTTGCACTAACTTTTTCAGATGTAACTCAACATTTCAGGGTCCTCCCTACCGAGCGTTACCCTTGACTAAGAGCAGATTCATAAATTTTGAAGAAATTTAACATAAAGTTGAAGGCCTTGAGATGAATTTTCTGCTGCGTTGTGAATGAGAAGTCTGCAGTGAACTGAATTGAGAGAAAACAGTTCATAAAAATGATTGAGCACTTATCCTTCATGACTTTTCTCCATGAGACGCTCGCAAATATCAGGTCCCTCGTAACAGCCGACGCTTGACACTTGGCCGGCTTTCAACTCCTCCGCCCAAAACCAGGAACTGAGTTGAGGAGTAGAGACTGGAGGGAGAAGGCATATAGCGCCCCTTTCAACTGGATCCTCGTCACGATTTTTTCCTCTTCAATGAGGCACTGGAGGTAGCCAAAGAGCTAAAATGGTGCAGGGCGAAACCAGAGTTTCAGGAGATGTGATTAATTACCTGCCAGCCCAGCTCACAGTCGCAGACCGAGAGCGCCATCGACCTCCGCCATGACATCATACGGTAAGGCGACCCAGGTCTAGTTGGAAAGTATTAAAGGCTAACTACAACCGCGGTCCGGCCCTACTCGATTACCTCCTTTTAATATCTTGAACCTTCCCGCAAGGCGAAAATTTTCGGAACGAAGAGCGGAAACAGGTACACTCGTGCTTTTTTCACGCTCAAATTCCTGTCCTAGTAAGAGGAGCGAATCAAAAAGCTACCGGAGCGTTGGTGACAAGTGGTAGGGTAACCAGTGCACACCTCCAACTCCCAAGGCAATTGGCTACTGATAAATTTCCAAAAAGATTCGAAAAGGGTTACATCCCGATCCTTCGATATCATTCAAAAGGCCGCATAAGGGCTCGCGCTTGATTAGGCTTATTATCACAGACTTTGGCAATTCTCCGCCTACAAGTGATGAATTGGGACGATTACGAAAGCAAGTGTTGCTAACTCGGCCCAGTTTGCCTAGAAATTCGCCGCAACTGAAAAAAAAGACAAGAGA